CAAGCAGTCATTTATCCAGATGTTAACAAACGCCACCCCCTCCCCCCTTCCCAAAGGGTTGGGAAGACAGGAAGCCCACTTGCTCTCTCCGGATTAAATTTACTGCCTGAAAAGTTAGTAAGAGGGGGGGGGAGTGAGGGAGAGAGGCCAAACATCTGTGTAAGCAAACGGCAGCCCAAAGTGATCCGGATTTGCATGATGCTCACACCTTTCCTCCTGCCCCAATAAAGTCACACCTTTGGTGCCTGGGAGGCGGAGAGAGCCTTTGTAGCGCTCCCCTCCCGCGGCTCAGCAAACGGACGGGGGTGACCAACTGGCGCTGCTTCCTCCGCCTTCTCAAGCCGAGGCAGCCACGACAGCTGCCTCCGAGAGGCACCGCGGTGCTCGCTTACACCGCCGCACCCTCCTCGCCAGCGTTCCGGCACTCCGGCCATTTGTTTACGTAATTCCCTTCCTCATGAAAGAGGCGGAGGGAGGCGACTTGCGGAAGGCGAGAACGCCGCTGCAGAGAGAGGCATCGGGGAAGGAAAGGGGCATCCAGCGACCGGGAGGCAAACGGGGGTCTATGGAACAGGGCGGACTTCAGCCCTTCTCCGCACGCTTGCTCGGACATTGTCTTAGGACACAAACGAGCCCACCGGAGTCCCAGGCGGCGCCTTTCTCGTGGCAGTTCTTCGAGTCTGCTCATTTCTTGAGCACATCGAGAACTGCACGACAGCGACTGAACCACGGGTGCTGCCGACAGTGGCTCTTACAGCGAGGGCGTCGCCATCCCTCTGAGTATGTTGGAGCCGCCCGAGCCCGGGCAAGACTTTTCCGTGGAGAACAGGAGAGATTCACCAGCGACTGGAGGAGCCCGTTTCTGCATTGCGCGCGCGCACTGTCCACGCACCTTGCAAAGCCTCACGTCTCCTGCCAAGACGTACTCTGGTCGCTAGGAGGAGCCTGCGGCCCACATTTGCGAAAAACCGCGCGCTCCGAGCTAGTGGTCGCCGGCTGGAGAAATGTTAACACTTAAGCGAGGCTGCCATGGGATGTTTACAGCCCGCACGGGCTGATTGGCCGTCAAGGCCGCGGGAATAGTCCTGGCGGACCAGTGGCTCCACCCCCACTGGGGCCACCCCTCCCCGCACCCAGGTCACTCCAGCCCCAAAAGCCGGGCGGACGGTGCTGAAAGGGAAAGGACAGGGCAGCCTCGGCCGGCCCCTTGCGCAGCCGCCACGGCCAGACACCTCCCGCTCCCGGCCGGCCGGGTGGGCGTCTCCTCCCTCTCTGGGGCCGCGTCTCTCCCTCCCCGCGGATCCCTCCATCCTTGCCAGCACCCCTCCCTCCCCCGATTTCAGTGAAAACTTGACCACGTTTAGATTGAAAGTTCCCTTCACGATGGGATTCTCAAGCAGGCAATCTGTGCAGCCCTTAATGTTACGCCTTGGAGAAGAATCAATCAAATGGAGGGAAAGCGTCAAGTCCCCCGGCCGTCCCCGGCCGGCCAAGCCGTGGGAATGAAGGACCCTCGCTTCTGTATGGCGCACA